CCCCCACCCAGGAAAAAAGAAAATAGAGAGTGGTGTGAGGACCTACTCACCAGGATTCTTCACGCCGCCTCCATACATGACTTCGCGACGTGGACGGTACCGAGGGCGTTGCCACGTCGACGATAAACACCGAATTATCAGTGAAGACTCCTTGATGCTCGTCGATCAGATTACGGAAAAGTGAAATTAGTAGTTACAGAAGAAATTGAAATTACCATTAGTGATTTGTTAATTAAATAAAATAAAGAGAAATCAACCAAGGATGATCCCTGTCGTTTGTGTGTATATTGGCGGGTTAAACAGCATTCGGCCGTTTGCGCAGGAAATGAAGACCGTGACGTTACACTTGGCAGCAGCTGCGAGCTCCTCCTCCACGGAGATTTGTACCGGGGTAGGGCTGTCATCGGGGGGGTCTGTTTCTGGGCGGCGTGGGGCTGACGTGGCAGCAGCAAGGAGGGCTTCTCCGGTTATTTGTCGAAGGTCAGCTGCTGCTGACGTGGCATGGAGGAGCTTAGCAATCAAGGCGGGGATTAAATCAGCGGCGGGGGTCGCGAGGTGGTGGGATCTGCCGCCACGTGGCAGCCGCCATGTGGTGCTGACGCTGGCTATGAACCGACCGCGAATGCGAAGGGGGGGATCTCCACGCACGCCCCTCTCCCCCCCCCCCCCTCCCCGCTTAACCCCAATAGACCCTGAGAACAGGCCTTGGTTTTGGGACGAAGAAGACGAAGAGGAAGAAGAGCAAGAGAGGCGGGGGGCGCGGGGTGGAGGGTATTTTCAAGACCCCCAGGTAGCCCGAGGAGGCCGTGAGGAGGAGGAGGAGGATGTGTACAGCAACAGGTTCTGGCGGGAACCGGACGATGATGACTACTCCATCGGCGGTGGCGGGAGGGATCCTAGCAGGTCGGCTTCTTCTTCTTCCACGATGATGGGATCTGGTCTCGTCGGGATCGGGGCGGGGAAAGAAGGGGCGCGAGTGACGAGGAAGGGGTGGATCAACGGGCTCATAGCGGGTGCGTTCGTGATCGGGATCGGGGCGGGCATCACCATCGACAGCGTGCTGAACGCCGACGCCAAGACGGTCGCGTCTCGGGAGGTGATTGATCGCCAGACTCCCAATCCCGACATCTGTCTGGCCAATGGGATGAGCGCGATGGTCCTGGACCAGCGGCTGTTCATCTCCTTCAACCCGTTTAACGTGTACGTGACGCAGGCCGAGGTTAAACCGGGATGTGTGCTCCGACAGGCTAATTGGAGCGTTCTAGAGAGTAGGGGATTGCTATCTGGCAAAGAGGCGCAGAACTGTAAGAAGAACATGAATACCTTCGGGTTTGTCGGGGACCTCAGACAGGCGCCAGAAATTTCGTGCGTGTATCATAGCGAAAGTGCGGAGAATCTGTTTCTCAAAGATCCGGCAAAAGCAGCACTGGGAGATGGCTTCCAACCAAGAGATTTTGACGACAATTAATTAATTAATTAATTAATTAATTAATTAATTAACTCGAATTAAAGAAATTGATTGGAAGATTAAAATGAAATTTAATTAATTGATTGAATATAATTAAATTGAAAAGTAAGGAATCAATCAATCAATCAATTAATTAATTAATGAATTAATGAAAAAAATGTGCGCTGGAGGAGGTGGATAGGAGCATAAGAGTGTGGAGCAAGACAAGAAAAGTGAGTTTTTTTTTTTTTTTTTTTTTTTNGAAATTGTTGCGCGTGTGCTATCATTTTCACTATACACCACTCCAGAGGGAAAACATGATTGTGCCTAGCAGACTGTTTTGTCGGATTTTTCATCGACTCATCAGGCAGGAGGTTGAACCTGGACGGACAGTCGGTCCAGGATGGGTTTGACTGATGGATAAGGGGCTTACAGCACTCGGCGAAAGCAGCAGTTCTTGGCGATGGCGCTTACAACGATGAGATTTTGACGACTAATTAAATTTGATTAAATTAATTAGTTAATAAAAATAACAATTAATTTAATTAATTTGTGCCGGCTGACTGCAATTAGATAGGAGGTACAGGACACCAGATAGGTTTGTCGCAAGGGTGATGTTTTTTTTTTTTTTTTTTTTTTTCCCTTTACAGGGGCCATGCTAATCTTTTATTTCTGTATCGTTCCAATTTAGGACGGACAAGCGTGATGGTTTGGTTGGTTATTTATACCGTTCATAGTAGTTCCGTAAGTGATGGATAAGGAGGAGGGTGGTGGGCATGCGTTAGTTGTATATAACTGATTTAAAAAAAAAAAAAAACGAAATTAAAAATATTAAATTGAATTGTAATTGTTTATTTGGAGTCAACAATAGCTGCCGAAACGACTTTTGTTTTCTTTTTCTATGAATTATTTCCGATTTTTGTTTTTGTTTTTTAGATATGTTATTGTAAAATTACAAAAAAATAATAATTCTATTTCACTTTTGCCGGTTTTCTAATTGAAATTTTATTGCTTTTCAGAAAAAAATGATATTTTTTATTGCTTTTCAGAAAAAAATAGCTGATATTTCCTGGGCAGATAAAACTAATCCCGTGCCTAATGTTTAATTTTTGTGTTATTTTTTAGATGTATTATTGATTTTTTTTTTTTAATTTCTCAATTTTCTATTTAGTTATTTGTTTTTAATTCAAAATTCATTATTTTTTAGAAAAATAGCTGATATTCCCTGATAGATAAACTAATCCCTTGTTTCATATGTTTCCCCCCCCCCCACATGTGTGCATTAGGTGTTGCTTCTCCTTCTCCTCCTCCTCCGCCTCCTCCTCCTCCTCCTTCCTGGGCGCAGTCTCACTAGCAAAGAGGACTGTGGATCTACCGGCTGAATCTGGACGTGCTTGTGGATCGGTGCAGAAAATCGCAATTCATCTGATTTTCTGCATCTCCACGTAGAACACATTCAGATTCAGGCGCCTAATCCAATCCTGTTTGCCTCTGGGGACTGCGCCCCCGATCCTCCTCCTCCCTCGGCCCCACAGTACATAAAATCAGTCTGTTGGCTCCAGTTTTTCATTATTCTTTTTAAATTCAATTTGGTGTACTTATCACTGCAGGTAACATGCATCCTCTTTTCTTATGTTTTTTTTTTTTTCTGTTTTCTTTTTTTGTAACCCGGTAGTGGTCAAAGCCAACTCTGCGGTGAGCCTCCAGAGGCTCGCTAGAGGCCTTCGTTGGCTCTCGCAAGAGTCGAGCCTGGTTACATACATATGCTATTATGCATGCATCCTGTCTGTCTGTGTCTGTCTGTCCGTCTGTCCGTCTGTCCGTCTGTCTGTTACATACTGGATTCCACACGGGCCCTGTTAGGCCCAACAGCTTGGTCTAGGGGGTTATCCCAGACCGTGGCCACGCTGGGCCAGTCCGGCCTGTGTTAAAGGCCGGACCTTTGGAAAGGCCGACGGTAGGCCTCCAGCAAACCGGTTCAGACCTGGGTCTGCAGCGGCAGGCCCTGAGCGGGAAACCGGCCCAAACATTTTTCGTTTGAGCCTGGCGACTGAGGATGGAGGCTGCCACTTCCCCGCGGGTCTGATCTGAACTGTAGATCGACTGGAACGGTCCAGATCACATCGCGACTTCACCAGCAGCCAGGCTGAACAGGCCACCGCCGGTACTTAGTACCGAACAGACCATGGTCTGTTCGGGACAGAGTTGAGGCCGCGGCATTGAGGAGCAGTGTTGCGCTATTTTGGTATTAGCGCAGCTCCAGGCAGTAGCGCTAGCTGCAGAGGAGAGAGAGAGAGAGAGAGAGAGAGAGAGAGAGAGAGAGAGAGAGAGAGAGTAAAGACTTACCTGGTACTTACCTGTGAGCGCCATAGCTCCAGCGTCGAAAGACTTACCTGGTACTTACCTGTGAGCGCCATAGCTCCAGCGTCGAAGGCAGGTCTTCAGCAGCTCCAAGGTGGCACCTTGTGTCCGGAGGTTGGCGCCTGGACACTGGATCAGGGAGCGAGGACTCTCCTCCTCCCTCCTCACCATCTCCACCTTCTCCTCTGCCCCTCTCAGTTCTTCTTCTTCTCTCCTCCATCTTCATCTTCCCCTAACCTTCTACCTTCTTGGTTACTACAGAGATCGATGTTGGGATATCGGTGATATCAGGACTGAGACTGTTCCAGAGTAGGACGTTGGAGGGACTATTCGGAGATCTGATGCGAGTGACATTTCGAGATTCTGTATCTTCGACATTTCGGGATTACTATTTCGGTGACTTTGTGTCGGCGCCATCTCCTCCTCCTCCCTTCGTCTCTTCCCCCGTACATTCGTCCGTGCGTGTTGTGTACAGGCTCTGACGCCATCTTCCTTGTTGGAGCGCCAGGCCTTCTCACCCAATGAATGGATGTGTGTGAGCCTGCGTATAGTCCGAGTCAGATGTGCGTTCAGATCTATGTTTATCAGTCTTCCGCTGCATTGTATTGCTCTTTGAAATTGGTCGGTTCTGGGTTCTGCATGTCGCTCTGTCTGTCTGTCGCTCTGTCGCTCTGTCGCTCTGTCGCTCGCTCTGTCTGTCGGTCATGGTAAGTTAATGCGCAGTGAACCGTCCATTCTAGCTATGGCCACTCGCCCTCACGCACACTCTGGCTCTCGTTCTGTCTGCCATCTTCCAGCGCTACAGCCGCAAAGGAGAGAAGGTTAACCGACCCCCCAATTTTTGTGCCGCAAAGCAGCACAAGGCAGAATGGATGTGGAGCCTGGGGCCTGACCTGCCTCGAGTTACCTCATTGCCTGGGGGAGATTTCCCTTGTGCCTGGTCCTAACGTCTTCACCCGAATAGAACGCCCGGTCATTATATCTGTATTTGGTGCAACTTTCAGTCCAGATACGGCAATAATTACGGGGCGTTCTATTCGGGTGAAGAGGGTAGTGAGCCTACAGTCTTACCCCGAATACAAGGAACGGTCATTATAGCTGAATTTGGGTATCTTTCAGTCTAAATACAGCTACAATGACTGTACGTTGTATTCGGGGGAAGAACTTAGGTGGGAAGCTTCTGGAAATTGCACTGACCCCGATAAATCCTCGACTCTCCAACTTCTGTGCCCGGGTGGGTCTTGACTGGTGGCTTTCCTGGGGCCTTCTCTTCTTTCATTTCTAGAGGCCATGGTTGCCTCTTTTTCACCCTTGACCTCATGCCTATGTCGACGTAAGGGCTTTTGGGTGCCTCCTGGGAGGCTGTAGGTTTACAATGCACTCGCTTCTTCTTCTTCTTCTTCTTCTTCTTCTTCTTCTTCTTCTTCTTCTTCCTCTTCTTGTTTTTTTAAGGGTGACAGCCTTGAGATATCATCATTGAACTGACCGTCCCTAAGTAATTCAGAATTATACTCCTCTGCCTGCGGCGGCGTTCGAACTCAGCACCTGGTCTGTATTTCAACAACTGTTCAGTTCAGGCAGGGGGTGTTTTACCAACTGACAGCTAGGCCAATTGGTAGGGCCCAGAACCTTGACTCGGTTGAAGCTACAACGCCAAGACATGTATATACATATAAGGAAAAAAAAGGAAAAAAAAAGAAAAAAAAAGAAAAAAAAAAGAAAAGAAAGGAAAAAAAGACATGTTACTGTGCTGATTTGATCTCGGTTCTTTGAATTGGCAGCTGCGAAGAAGACCTCCTCTACCCTCCTCCTCCTCCTCCTCCTCCTCCTCCTCCTCCTCTTCTTACCCCCTTTTCCACCCCCCTTGCCACCACCAATCTCTTCCTGATGTATACCGGGGAGCAGCCAATTCCCACCCTGCTATTCTGTTCGAACTCCGAAATTCGAATACAACGCCCTTGTGTTTTTTGTTCAGTAAAGTAATATAAGTTTAAATAACCAACTGCCATCTTCCCCCCAACACAATGCGACAAATGCGTCCTCCGTCAGTTTTTTTCATCGGTATGTGACCTGAAAGGCAGTGTTAGTACATTCATAACCAGGGTGCATTGTGTCCGGGGGAAAAATTGTAGCACACAGCTGGCATTCTCTTCCTTGTTCTTTCATGCCTGCCTTCCTGGTGAACTCCTTTTTTTTTTGTTTTCGTTTTTTTTTTTTTCATGATCGTGTGGAATGTTCCAGCTATGAAATGACATCCTTTGTCCCTTGGAATTTTTTTTTTTTTTTTTGAACCCTTGGAACATCCAATGAACTCGGAAAGACACAGAGAATATCAATTAGCGCACACACAAATCGGAACATGGTCTAAAAAAAGAAGAAGTAAACTAGGCTACCAGAGTGGCCCGGGACCACTTGCCCGGCAGGGCAAATATAAATATGAGTCGGTGAAACTCCGACGAAACAGTTTGTCACAGCCCCTCGTTTGTTGTCCTCTTCTCTCTCTCTGCCTACGGTTTACCGGGCAGTTCTGTTTGTGACGATA